CGTGCAAATCTGCGCAAGATGTGCTTTCCGGAAGTGCATGCCCAAACACTGCGCAACGTATGTTTTAAATTGAATTCCGGCCAGGCAAGAAGTACTTGCAGGAATGCAAGCATGACAGAAATTGGAGCAAATACATAGTGTGGAACCTGCGACGATGAAGCAGCAGCACGGTTGATTACAAGCTTATTGTAAGCGCTTCGCGTCGTCCACCCGAGCCCGGTCAGAGTGCGACGAATAGAGGCCAGGAAGGGGCCAAGGGTGGGGGAGGTCGGAGGGGCCTCATGCAGTGTTTTCAAATCCAATCTTACGGGGGAACGGGATTCAGAGGACGGAAGAGCCCTCCTGGAAGAGGGAGCCTTTTCGAGGCACTGTTGGTCAGCAAACTAGCCTTTCTCGTGGCAGTCGGGGTGGCATTTGGGAAATGCATTTTTTGAGCCACCAAATACTTTCGCGTTCCAGTCTTGGCAGCCAGACCCAGCCAGCCACAAAGCTGCCAACTTGCAAGCATCAACGAGCTTGGACTTCTAAAATTGCTGGGCAGCTGCTGTGTCATTGTCATGTTCGGTCTGCCGTGTCCAGGCAGCGTGAGTCCCAGCTCAGCAGCTTGCGGCTGTTGAGATCGTGTCTTGTGTAGATCATCGGTCGGTATGCACAAGACCTGTTTCGTTAGCCTGGCTCGAGGCACATGTTCCAGCAGTCGTGCTTGTGAAGCAGCTGAGCCCCAACTCACTGTCCCCGAGCCATGTCAGTTTACTGGCTCTGCCAAGCCTGTCATACTCTTACAGGCTTGTTTTTCAGTCATTGGCATAAACGATCATGCAAAATTCCCTGCGGTTGTTTCCTACCTACAACAGGCAAGACAACTTGCCACATCCCTCCACCGCGTTTTTTTCCGTTTCAGGGCCCAAAGTCTCTGCACCGGGATGCTTTTTCCATGAAGATTTTCATTCTTCAGTCTGCTAGCACAAGCTGTTGCAGGCATTGCCGTGGCTTTGAAGGGTCGTTGCGGCCATGTCACCTCGAAGTGTGAAAGATGCCTGTTGCTCAGTATGAGCTGTGTTTTCAAGCGGTCCGCGGCTATAGAAGCTGCCATAGTGTTATGATGCAGACGCCTTTGCAACTTGCATTTACTTGCGATCGGTCACCTGGAGCAGCGCTGTGAATTAACTTGGCCAGTTTGCAGCAACCGCGGCCGCGTCTGCTTTCTCCTAAGCCCAAAATGAATTCAGCGGGCGTTTCGCAGGCGCCGACTTTGGTACTGCACTGTGCAAGACTCCATGTTTGAAGCATGGCATCTCACGGCTATTTCTGGCAGAGTACGGAACTGCATAGACACGACAGCTTCAACGGTGACATCATCATCAGCAGGGAAGCATGCTCTTTGTTGCATGTCTGCTTGTGAGTGCAACACTGGTAAGAACCTGTTAGAACAAGGAAATTACATGGCGATGTCATCGCGAGTGGTCCTATCGGGAAACACTTCTCTCGGGTCTTTCTTGGCAACAATCAATGTCTACAAGGACACGAGTCGCCCTCTGTGGGTCGGACAGGATTTTCAAAACCGTTTGGGTGGGAAGAACATCAGGCATGGGTTGATCCGGATTTCTGGCACAGGACTTGGGAGACCGATTCTCCACGATCCTGCGCGGCTTTACGTCACTGAGCGTCTTGGCGTGTCAGGAAGGTTGCGATGCAAATGTGCAGGCACCGTTGCTCGGCTGAGGCAAGTCGATTTCTCCGCTCTGCGGGCTCACCCTTCAGTTCAGCTATCAAGTTGATGTGTTGGGCCGCAGCGATAACTTCCAGAGACGAGAAAGGCGGCTCGGAGTTTTGCTGCTGATCACTGTGAGACGAATGCTCGGGCTCTTTGAGTTGAAAGCTGCTGCTGAAGGTTTGCTCTCGACTGGTTGCAGACACGTTCTTCAACCGGAATGTCGCTGGATGACATTCCAATAGTCTTTGAGGAGCATGTCCCTGTGTGCTGTCACTTGTGCAAAGCTACAGGCTGCAATCCTCTCCTACCTTATATTTGTGCCACAGTGTAATCGTACCTGAAGCAGCACTAGTACTACTGCTTCTGCCACTTGTTGCTACTATTGCTACTCTACTTGTGCTCGTACTAGTACTAGTACTTGTGCTAGTGCTAGTACTAGTACTAGTACTTGTACTAGTACTAGTACTAGCACCACCACCACCACCACGACGACGACGACTACTACTACTACTACTACTACTACTCCTGCTGCTACTACTACTACTACTACTGCTACTACTACTGCTACTACTACTGCTACTACTACTACTACTACTACTACTACTACTACTACTACTACTACTACTGCTACTGCTACTACTACTGCCACAGGTGTGCCAGGTGGGTGACAAAACAACAACAACAACAACAACTACTACTACTACTACTACTACTACTACTACTACTACTACTACTACTACTACGACTACTACGGTGGGTGACAAAAAACTACGACTACTACGACTACTATTACAACTACAACCAACAACAACGACAACGACAACAGCAACTACTACGGTCTGCCCGTCGAGTCGCAAATTATCACCTCTGGTAACTGGTAGCTTTGTCGAGGGTGTGCTGAGTGCGCATGGCAGAAGAGCTGTTTTCGTTCCCTGGGAGGTCTTTCTTTCTAGTTAGGAAGGGCAAAATTTGCAATGTGTCGCATTGCGTCTGTGCTGTGCCTGGCGTTTCGGTAGCCCACCTTCTGTAGCTGTTACACTTCGTTGGTTCTTGGACTGGCTGTGTCACTGAGAGAGTCCTGACTTCGGTAGCTCTGTTATCACTTTTCGGGAGCCTAAACTACTCCTACTCCCACTCCCGCTCCTACCCCTACTCCCACTCCTACTCTTACTCCTCCTACTGCTCCTGCTCCTGCTTCTGCTGCTGCTCCTGCTGGTGCTGCTGCTCCTGCTGGTGCTGCTGCTGCTGCTGCTGCTGCTTCTGCGACTGCCACTGTTACTGCCACTACTTCTGCTTTGGGTATGTCTTCAGACACTGCTGCATTCCCAAAGTGTGAAATCTGATTCACGAAAATCTCACAACGCACAGTGGCACAATCCCCTGCCAGGATGTACAAGTGGCCTACTCCCCATGCATGAATGTCGCAACTGGGGGATTTTCGGTACAAGCACCTCAGGGGACAATCATCCAGAACCTTGGCGTCCTGTGGCATGTTCGCTGACAGGGTCGATTTGGGAGATTTCGGTTGAAGTTCGCGCTTTGCCCAAGGATTGCTGGGCCTCATGATTCAGGAAAGATGACCATGTTAAGCTTGATCTGTGATGGGCTGCCTCCATCCACTGGCGCGGTCTTGGTGTCGCCGCACTTGAGGCCAAGTCGCATTCAGTCAGTTTTGTTGGTTGGTTCCATGCCTGGTAGATGTTCTTGCAGAATCGCATGACGCATGCACGGGTGCAACTAGGGAAACTGCTATGTTCTGGAGTCCGGACTCTGCTCACGTCTTTAAGCAGCCAGATGCTGGATGGCTGGACATCGTACTTACTGTAGGGGCTGGCGTGCTATAGGCACTTCAGGGTCTGCTTACATGTTCGAGATATTTGCAAAGGAACCTTCTACATGTACCTCATCTTCCTCTGTTTGGAGACAGCATGGGCGTATTCTTCAATCTGCACATGATGCCGGTCTGCACTTTTCAGGGGTTGCATCAATGCTTTCTGCCAGTCTGTCAGATGCTTTGCAACACTGGCCTTGTCAGTTACAGCCCGCCACCGCCGTCGCGGAATGTTCTCGCCGGCTCAGGATCAGTGATGAATCGCAGTATTCGCCTGAAATTTATGCGCGAGGCGTCAATATTTTGCAGAAGCTGCGCTTAGACAAGCGCTGGATCAAGGAGTTTTCTGCGGATGTTGAATAGTCATTTGCCGCACTTACCACTCGAGAGGCTAGTTTTCACGTGGCAAACATACAACCGAACTCTGCGTTAGATAGCTTCCATTGCAGGCAGATTGCAGCCCTTGCTAAGTTTACAGATGCACAGCTTTCACACCTATCGGCTGGACTCGCGACCGTTCCTGCAGCAGGACATGTACGATGCCGAAGCGGAGGCATTGCACAAGGCTTTGGAATCCAGCCACGACGTGGCACCACACCACACTCTGTGGTGCTACGAAGACGGGGAAGAAGAGGAGGAGGAGGAAGAGGAGGAGGTGAATCTCCCCTGGACAAGCAAGCTGAGCACGAGCGAGAAGTGGAGATTTCAATTGGCAAGGGCCCTCCTTCACAATCCGCACGTCTTGGCCATCCATCGCCCTGTGCAGGAGCTTGAAGGTGAGGTGAGACAGGCGGTCTTATCATCCCTCCAAGACTTTGTGCAGATGAGGGGGCTCGATATCGAAGGCGGGCTGGACAGAACTCGTCGACGCCCACGAACGGTGATCTTCACAACTGGCAGCAACGACAGGTTTGAAATCGCAGATTATGTATGGCGGATCACACCCGGCTCAGGAGTAATCGTTGAAAAGTGTCCCTCTCGCGGCGGAAGGCCGTGAAGGATCCAAGTTACATACAAGAGCATCATCGCCTTGCGATTCGACTGCCATCACGGCGCACAAGCCGCCAGAGCAAGAATCTGTTTCGATTTTCGATTCTAGTTTCATATTGCTTCCCGACAGACATGGAAACTGCCGGCTGTCGGTCTCTAGAGACTCTAGAAGGGTCCCCACAGACTTGAGGTCAGATGTGACGTTCTTGTCTGACGGAGCGGTAAATGCGTTCGGTATCGTGGAAGAGCATGTATCAAAAAAACATGCAGAGACGTGCAGATTGTTGTGCTCGTTGGTCTTGCAGATTCAGAGTGTGCTTAATCTTCGGTTTGTGACTGGGTGCCGCGTTCGGGACTGGCTCAAAGGTATATGGCCTGTGATCTTGAGCGGGTGTTGCAAAGTTTCTGAATGCAGACATCTCGAAGATCAAGGGGGTTGACTGATTGAGAACGGCCCGCTCGCAGATGGCTTATAGCTACAGGGCAGGAGGATCATCAAGACGAGCCTCACCTGCATTCAGAAAGCCGGGAGTCATGCACGTCGCCAGAGCTGAGCTTTGCTACCCGACAGTCTCCGACAGCCAGTGCACCGAATGTGCCGAGTTTGCTGTCTTTAGGCTTGACTACCGTGAAAACGCATGCCTGCATGGCTACATGCAAAGCGAGCAGCATGCCAAGTCGTTGCGAGAGCGTGGAAGCCTGTTTCCACGCTAGTGAGTCATTGAGGCAGTTCGGCATGTTCACTCCTTCGAAGCTTTCAGGTGATGCATGGGTCCCACTGGTCAACCAGCCAGCAGTCGCCCCAGTGGTTGCAGCCCCTCGCATTGCAGCTCAGCCGTCGCAGCCACGGAGCAGGTGCAAACTCGGCGATTGCTCTTGGTCGTGTTTGAGTGGCGTGGTCGTGCTCTGTAAAGCCGTCTCAAACCCCTCCAAAGGTTTGCAGCTTGAAAGAGCGAGAGAGAGGAAGAGAGACAGCCTTCACAGGTAAGGCGGGTCGGGGGTACAGGCGAGTGAGCACGGGTGGGGAGTCCCCCTGTTCCCAAGGCAGCCTTCAAGCGGGTTGGGATCTAGGGTCTAGTGGTGGTTCCTCGTCCTCGTCGTAAGAACACCCGTGAGTGTGACCTCGGGTGAGGCCAGCGCTCCTGAATTAAGCTCGGCTGCATAGAAGAGGACAGCTCTGAAAACGGAATGAAGGGGTACAGCACAGGTGTGATGTCTGCAGCACCTGGCCTCAAAGCCCCAAAACGCCGGGACGGGAGGGCAGTCGGGGGGAGGGCGGTCAGTGAATCATCACCTCTGCAAGACTGCACGGTCGTGTGGGCACAGAGACGCGAACATGAATTTCACTTTCAGGCTGAAGTGGAGGCCGTTCGTGTCGTTAGGCTGGTATGAGTGGTGATGTTGATATTGGTGACCTCCAAGTTCATTGTTTCCGCTCAGCTGTTCCCGTGCATCATAAACCTCGCGGACACCGGGCAGGGGCAGCGACGTGGTGCAGTTTCTCTCGCGGACCTTCTACTTTACTGAGAAGGATCGGGCGGCTGCTTGCATTTTTGTTTCAACCGGCATTTGGTCTCGAGAAGGGCTAGGTCTACTAGACTGGTGTCATGCCCTCTCATGGTTAGAATCCTACAACGAGCACTTCAACTAGATAGGTAGATTGATCGATCGATATATGGACTGCCTGTGACGCAGTCACATGATTCCAGCTTTTTTCGATCAGATGCTGCTAGACTGACTTGACGCCAAAGTCTCTTTCGTCAGCTCTGCACCTTGTTGCAGGAGAACGCGCTTATACGAGTTGCTCGGGTGGGGTCGCTGTACGGTCAGTGCTCGGTGAATTGGAGAACAGAAAGTGGATCGGCGCAGGAAGGCGAAAAGCTCCTCGACCTTGCACTTGCTTGTTGACTGAATCGGTCACCGCAGTGATTCGGTTTGATCTGCGACTGAAGGTATCACGCTGGCAGTGGTACTCTCGTCTTCGGTCCCGGCGAGTCTCTCCGAAGCTTTGAGGCGTGGAACTCGACAGCTGCATACTTTTGGGAGGGGCAGCCTGCGTCTCCGCAGATTAGAATAATCGGTGAATGAAGCGAGGGGTTGCAGAATCGAATTCGACGGGTCGGGATGCCAGGTCCAGGTCATCGACGACGATTTTTTCGACTCCAATTTGGAGTTTGAGTTGGTGCTAGAGGATGCCAGAAACTGTGTCATCGAGCCGGCGAGTGCCCGATCTACGATAATGATCATGGATGATGATCTGTTTCCTGCAAACGAGCTGGAGGAAGAGCTGAAGAAGGAAGACGAGGCCGGACTGTACACTATTGGTTGGCAAGTGCTGTGGAGCTTTATGAAGTTCAGCTATGGGCACGTTCGCGAGATCCGGTGGAAGACCAACGTGGTCCTTTTACTGTCGATGCTAGGGAATGCGTACTACCTTGGTACAATCTTCATCCGTGTGTACTTGGTTGATACAGTTCTCAACACAAGAGATGAAGAGTCGTCATCGCGACTGCTGATCCCAGGGGATCGGAATGGTACAGCTGTTGCGCTTGCCTTGGCATGGATTCTTCCCAACTTTATTCTGCTGGGCTCCGACTATTTTGAGATGGCCGTTCTGGAGATGGGTTTCAACATCCGCTACTACCTGCGAGTGAACTTGTTCAGAAAGTACCTCCACTACACACAACAGTCGCGAGCTCGTGTGCCCATACAGGACCTCAAGATCAGCATGATGGACGATATCCCAGAGCTAGTCTCCCAGGGCTACCTTGTTGTTTTCGAACTGTGGGCCATGCTGGGGAAAATTGCGTGCATTGCGTTCTTCATGCTGCGGAAGCACCCTAACAGCGCTGTTCCGCTCTTCGTTTATCCGGTGATCCTGGCGCTGTATATAAGGTGTACGCACTCTGGCTGAACTCAGGCTGACGTTCACCTGCTCTGATTGTGCCTTTTGCCGCTCCCAGGATTCATCATGTTGCCATTCGCATAGACGCACACATTCAGGTACCACAGGCGGCTAGACCTCATGGCGAAAGAAGGAGAGGGCCAAAGCGACACGACAGGACAGAGATGAGAGTGGAGGGGTGCCGAACATCGAGTCTGGGTGTTGGGCCCGAGACTCCTGCGCTTTGATCTGGGATGCTTTCAGAAATGCCAGGAGCTGTTATGGATCTGAACACTTCCCGCCGTTTGCTTTCCTTGTATAGCGGGAATTCAGCGGCGGTGCGAAACTTTGAGGCGGGTGTCGTGCTTGCTTGAAGCCTTGACGGTCTGTGAGCACTGAGCACCGACATCTGAAAGCGTAAGGACATCTTGCGACATCAACGCCTCCCGGTTAAAATTTGATGAGTGCGATCGCCGCTGCCTAGAGGGCTTTCTGTGAGCATGGTATGATGCCAGCTAGGTCGCAACCACAGATGCTAAGACAGGGTTCCACCACTTCAGATCCGGGACTGTCCGTGAGTTTGTTTGATGTTACCATGTTTTGCGAGCTGCTAGTCACTCTTGCTGGCACTGGTCAGCCTGCGAACGGGCTGAGCGGCTGAGGAAGCCTGACAATGGATCTCAAACGGTTCCAGTTTTGGAACGCGCAAGTCATTCCGTGGATCACCCTCCTCGCCATTGGCAGCTACATGGCATCGTCACCAAAGGTGGTGCTCTCTGGCGGGACGTCGTTGGGTTCCTTCCTCGCGACGGTGAATGTATACAAGGACCCGGACGCCGGACATGCCACGTGCATCCACTCATCGACATGCCCTTACAATCCTGCCGCAGGACCTGGGCGACCGTTTCTCCACAATACTGAAAGGCTTCACAGCTCTGAGCAAATCGATCTCACCATTGTGCGGGATCACCCTCCAATTGAACTATGAGACAGAAGTTCCGGCAAAGAAGGAACTCTTCCAGAGGCGTGAATCGCCGCTCGGCAGGCAGACGGTGTCCTTTCTGTGCCCGTGCAAGTACAGATCTCTCCTCACGTAGAGGGAACAGAAAATCGGGGTCGGGAGGATTGAGGAGGGGCGGAGCAGGCCCTGAATGCCGCAGACTTGATGTCACAAACCGTAACCATTTGAAAGAGCTGAACTCGGCTGGGCGACCACTCTGCCCGGCGCACATACTTAAGCTGCCTTCACGTGCTTCAATCGCGCTGCCCTCCGCGCCCTCGTGAGTTGAGAACATTTGAGAACTTTCTTTTACTGTTCGACCTTTCCCAAGGACATGGAGTCTTGTGATGCCATGAATCCAAAAACCCACTCGCTGTTATAGCCTGGCTGTGAAAGAAAGTTGCTGCATTCCAGAACCGAGGTTCACCTTGGACTGGTTAACTCAACATGCACCGTCGGGTGCATCATTGGACGACGTACCCATCGTGTTCACGGATGCCACAGTCGTGCACAGCCCCAGCATGAAAAGAAAAGCTTTCTCCGCGGAAGCACCGCAGGGATCAATCATCCAGGTGGCTGGTCATCATGACGTTGGTAAAATGACGCTCCTCCAGCTGATCAGTGGACACCTCTCTCCGTCTACCGGTGAAGTGGTGATCTCACCACATCTGGAGGTTCTCTATGTTTCCCACGAGCCATTGTTTATTCAAAGCACCGGACTGTTTTGCAATCTTCACATGATTAGCACGGTCGATGAGATGGAGGGTGTGAACATTGAGCGAGGCCTCAGAATCCTTCATCGGTTACGGCTGGACAAGCCCTGGATCAAGGACTGTTAGGTTTTGAGCATGGGTGGAATTCCAGGCCTGCGTAGCCTTATATATGATTGTAGCTGCGCGGTATTGCTCAGATTCTTTGTTGCTGTGTTTGCAGGAGCTGTATGAGTCTGAAGCCGCGTCATTGCAGGAAGCCGCCGAGGCCAGTCCCACATCAGAGGACGGCATGTTCGGATGCCTTGGGGAGGAGGAGAAGGAGGAGGACGAGGAAGCGGATGAAGACGGTGACGCATGGTTCGATCGACTTAGCACAAGTGAACGGGTTCGGTTTCAGCTGGCACGAGCGTTTGTTGCAAATCCGCACGTTCTCGCAATCAATCGTCCAGTGCAAGATCTGGATGACGATATGAGGCAGGCAGTGCTGTCCTGCATGAAAGAGTTTGCCCAGAACAGAGGCTTGGAGGTTGACGATGGGTTCGACATCCGGCAAAGGCGTCCGCGCACAATCATCTTCACCACTGCGGACTCGGTACGAATTGACATTGTGGACACTGTATGGCGGCTGTCGACTGACAGCGGCGTTGCTGTGGAGAGGCCACCCAAAGCTTTTGCAATGCCCGCTGGCGCACAGACTGGACCCATGCCTCGAGAACAGTCTGGCGTAGCGACGCCTGCAACTGCGATATCTCCTCGACCACCTTATGCTTCGGCAATGCCGGCCATGGTGATCTCTCCTCGACAACAGCCTGCTGTTCCTGCGAGGACGATCCCTCCTGGAGAGCAGCCTGGTCTTGGTCTTGGCTCGCAGCGTCCGCAGTTTTTTCCCTGACCTGCCTCCGTTCGATCTGCTAAATGCTCGGAAGCATTGAATCGCGGAACAGCTAATGTATCACGTTCACCGGTTTTAGGTGATGAGAGCTAATTGATTCACACCGGCGCGATCGTGCAAAAACTGAGAGTGAGCTTCGTGCCGTCTGCCGCATGCTGCTCCTGTTCATCACTCCTTTCGCCCTGATCTGAGAGCAAGCAAGGTTGCTGCGAGCAGACTTACAGACAATCCTTCTGTGATTTTTCGCCTGTGTGAAGCTTTAGGTTCAAACCGTTTTGCGTGCGGTTGCCTTTGGGCATGCCACGACTATTCAGTTTTGGTATTGGGAAGTAGCGAACGCTTTGTCGGAAACAGCAGAAGTGTAGGACTTCAGGGGCTGCGGGCTGCATTCCCTCGAGATGCAGAGTCTGCAGGTATTGGCAGGGAGTGGCAGACCATCCGCAATCTTGCGATCTCAAGCGCGAGTGTTTGCTGGTAAGTGTGAGCTGAGTTCTCTTCCCAAGCCTTCCCCTTCAGAAGACTCCTTTCACACTCCAGTCCGCAGTTGCCGCCGGAATGTAGGACGAAAAGCTTATGGGCTCACATCGTGTCGCAACACGATCACTCGAATCTGCACGGTGTCGGCGAATGTGTGGTCCGGAATGTAGGACGAAAAGCTTATGGGCTCACATCGTGTCGCAACACGATCACTCGAATCTGCACGGAGTCGGCGAATGTGTGGTCAAGAAAGAAATTGACACGTCGCAGCAAGGCGCAGGTCGTTCATCAACCTACACAGCGCACACTCTGCCTACTGGCATTTTCAATTTTGATTTTTTGGGCTGAGGCCGTTCAACATTTTCGTCATTCCACAGGGTGAAAGATTACAGTCATGTCTGCTGCATGCTGCTGCTGAGTGTCATTGCCTTATCCACCTTTGAGCAAGTCGCCGCCACGTACAGCATGACTGGTCAGGAAAACGGTCGACGAGACAGGAGTTTCGATCCGAGGCAGGAGTTTTGCCAAAGGCACAGCACGTGCTGCTCTGCGCTCGATGCATGATGGAAGTGGCGGAGCGAAATACCTCACACTGTCGCGGCCTCGCAGGTCCAGCATGCTGAAGCCCCTCACGTCCCCGATCAGCGGCCTGGTGGACAGGTCCGGTCGTGCGTAAGCACTGCCAAGTTGGGGAGCAGGGATTGTTGCAGTCGATTGGTGAGTGCTTCAGAGTCTACTGTGTGGAGAGTGTCAATGCTGTCGCAACATATTGATGCGGTAGCCGGTGGTCTTTGTTATAGTTTCACTATGTTTCACTGTTTAACTGCTAGTGGGCCTTGGAGCGGTTTCCGAATTCCGTTATGCATACCCGCAGCCAAACAAACAGAAAACCGTCCAAGGCCAGGGTTTGGGATTAAGTGTTTAAGTTTCCAACGCAGAGGGAAGGAAAGCGGCAAGAAGCGAAGGGGGTGTTGGGGGCGATGGGGGCGGAGGTGGGCAAAAAGCGGCAGGGGGGAAGGGAGCGCAACGAAGCACGAAGGAAGCAGGCGTTGCAGAGGGAAGAGAAGGAACGGGAACCAGCAAAGAACCGAAGACGGGTTAGGGGCGGTGGTTGCGGAGGTGGGCAGGGGAGGAAGGGCGAGAAGGAGGCAGAGAAGCAGCAAAAGGCAGTGCTGAGAATAAAGCAGAGTTGGGGGCGGTGGGAGACGATGGGGCAGCGGGGGGAGGGAGGGCAGGGAGCAGCATGAAACTCTTAGACCTAGACGGCATTTCTTGCACGAGCTTGCCAGCTGCAGCCGCTTTCTCAAGAGACAGCTGTGCACTTGTGTTAGCTGTTAGCACATTCGGCTCCGTTGATTTCCTGTTGCAGGAGCTTGTGCAGCGAGCCCGGTGCCCGGAAAGAGAATTCAATGGGGACCCCATCAAAATGTCTGCCGTGCCGTGACTGGTCGACGGTAGCTGTAGGCAAGTCAAGCGATGCAATGCATAGGTGCAGCTACAGTGCTTGAAGTGCTGAGAAAGATGTTGTGTTGTCCGGACATGGGCTTCTGCTGATGGTTCAGGTTTCAGCTCTTGGCAATTGCTCTCGATGCAGCAAAAGGTGCAGTAGGCCCCCGCGATCAGCTGGAATACTTTCCATTGAAGTGAATGCCGTGGATGATTGCACATGGCGATAGCAGCCAGTTGCAGAAGCAATTTCTTGCTCTGAGCTATTGCTTGTGCCTCTCCGTCACAGAAGCATTCCCCCGCAATACGCCATAAAAAGCCACGTCCGACCAGTTTACAAACGCGCCGGAAGTTTTCAGAGGGCACGAGCGCCCCAGTGTTCGTGGCGTGCTCTTCAAATCTCACCACCTCTCAGTACCTCTCAGCCATGCAGCCTGTAAAGCCTTTGCTGCTGCCGCTGCTTACCGGCTCCAGGGTCACGCAGGCGCAAGTCGCCCTTAGCCGTTAGCCTTCTGCTGAGCTGCTTTTGAAATCCTTGTTGAGGCGAAAGAGCGTTGGGTATGGCCTGGGAGGTTGGCAGAGCCGGAGCCGCCGATCTCACGCAGTCGGCTGCGGTGCTATTTGGCTGCTTTGGGCTTTGGCACCTCGGCTCTTAAAGATTTCGGAGGCCACAGTACTCCCTACCGTGCCCCAAACTGCTTCGCCCAGGCTTTGCAGGGCTGGCCGCCAAGCCCGCTCGAGCGGCTCAAACCAAGAGTGCTTTGTCCACGGAGGTCGGCGAGCTTAGATGAATGGTGAGTTGCAGCGGACGACCGGTGTGGCAGAGAGCAGACAGCCTGCGACACGAGAACCATCGCAGGACAAAATCGCGATTCTGAAAGAGGCACCTGCATTGTTTAGGAGTCAGAGTCGCAGCTTGACCACCCCGGACAAAGCCCACAAGTGGCTGGGAGAAACGCGGAAGCTGGACGTTCATGCTCGGTCGGCTGATTGCAGGTGCAGAGTATGGGCGATGTTGCAATGAGTGCACCGACAGTGGAGGAAGAAGAGGCAGCTGAAGCCACTGAAGCAGATTGCTCGTGTCACTACGCAATGCAGTCATTCCATTCGTGTGGCATGCATATGCCTGAATATGCCTGAATCATATTGCTTGGTTAGGCTGCATGGACGAAAATGCTGGAGCGCTTCGCGGGGCTTCCGGACATCGAGGACTCTACACTCCGTTGCAGCCGCAGTAACCTTTTCGAGGGAGCTCTCCCGAGCAGGTTCGCGTGCGCAGCAACCGTGGCAACTCACTAGCACGGCAAGGCAAGCTGAAGGAAGCTCTCGAGGCTGACCTGCTGGGAGTTAGCACATGCTTTCAGACAATCGGCGGACAGCCTCATCGCTTCCAATGCTTGCGGCAGCTTAGCCTGCCTGAGTCACTGCGTGCGTAGGAGCTTCTGGTGGTGAATAGCCCTGCAAGCCTGCAGTTCCGCGAGGGGTGACGTCTGACGTCCGATTTTGCAACTCGTGGCCTGGCCCGAAGGATTATAACCGTGCGATCGAGCTGGTCCCCGAGGCCCAGCAAGATGCTCGAAAATCCCTTTGGGCTCGACTCTGTAGCTGAGCTTGTTCACGTCTGACTGTAGGACTTGGTTGTCCCAAGTCCCACATTACCTCACTTGTACTTCTTTGAACGTGATCTGGGAGGCAGTCGATCCTCATCTGAACCGTGGGGCTGTTTATGAGTCCCTGGGCCGGCTGGAGGATGCTCTATTAGACTACGACCCTTGGCGGAAGCTGTCCGGTTGTTGTGTTCGGATCGTCTCAGTCCGTTGCCTTGTATGAAGACAAGCTAAGGATGTGGTTCTACAGCAGGATCCCGGTGACGCGCGGGCTGCATGTGAAAGCTGATGCCAGCTCTGGGAGTCTCAGCGCGTAAGCATCATCTCCCTCTCGGAGCCGAGGACCCGGCTGCCTGGAACAACCGTGGCAACGCCTTACTAGGCACGTGATGTGCACCTGCTGGAGCAAATCGGCAGCGCCGGTCATTCGCTTCATGTTGTGGGCCGTGGATTTTCGCATCCGATGATGGACAGATGGGACAGCTTGATCACATGACGAACCGCAGAAGTTCATTCGCCTGCAGGCCTCCAGCGATTTGAAGAGGCCAAGGATTCGTTCCAGCAGGCCATGCCCTCATTAGCTGTGCTCCCTGCTCCCTGGCTGCACTGCGACTCCGAGTGCAGGCTCTCGACATCTCGGGCTCGCAGCGCTTCGCCTTTGCCGGAGTGAACCTTGCTCTGGCCGGGCCGGGGCCGGACATTTGCTCGTGGACGACTGGGTCAAACTCCAGGGCAGTTTCTGTCCGCAGTGCCGCTTACACAAGGGGGGGGGGGGGGGGGATTCTTGTGGTTCTCTGATAAGGCATGGTCGGGGTCCTGGGTTGCTATGAGCAGTGGTAACGGTGCTAGTGCAATGTTTTTCGTGCGGCCACTGCTAGTTGTTGGTGCTGGTTTCAGGGGTTGTGGTGGCGGTGCTGGTCGTAGCGGCGCGAAGCCCCGGGCTCGCCATTCTGCAGCCCACATAGCCTCTACAATAGTGTAAGCACTGTTGTTGCATGTCTTGTCGGTGATGGTGCTGTTTGTTCCAGTTTTTGATTGAGTGGGGTTGGGTTGTTTGCAGGCACAATACGAGCTTGGCGAGGACGACAACGCAGTTCAAACACTGCGGAAGCTGCTAGCACGATACGCCGAGGCAGCTTTTGCCGGCAAGTTCACTGCTTGCTTGCGTTCATGAGCATGATTCTGGCGAGAAGCTCGGAACATCACACCGCCCTGCAGGCTTTTCCCGATGCGCGTGCTGCCTATGCATTAATCATGTGGGACAAGGACCCCATCCTTGGAGAGTCAGTGGCCTGCCGGCACACGAGTCGTGCTCGATTTTTTTACAGTATGAATATTTTATTTTGCACCACTTCCGAATCAACGGCAAACACGTGCACCGTTTCTTTTTCCAACAAGCCGCGGGCCTCGGATTTCAAGGAGTGGGACCGTGCCACGGCCGCGGATCCGCGCTACCGGTCAGCTGAGTGGGTTCAAGGCCCGAAGTCGCCATAAGTCTCATGATGGACTTCTGATGATGCGTCTTTTCCTGTTCTCAATGTCATTGCAACATTTGGTTTGTCTAGCTGGGCACGTGGCTGATCACCTTGGACGTGCTCGAGCTTGTACTCGAACACTCTGAACCGACACCTGCAGCAGGCCTCATTACTGTGTCGTGCCCTAGAGGAATGATGCCCGACGGTCGTTGATCAAAGAAATCGTTTTGTTAGCTGCCCGGCGCCCGAAGAAGTCAGGCTTTCGCCGCTGGCCCCCTCGGCTCCTGGGTATTTTCAGACGCTTTGCGTCTACCACTTCCGTCAAGGCCCTGAAGCATCTTGAAGATGTCAGGCATGTTTCTAGCACGTGGATCTGGATTCAGTTGCAGCTCGTTCTCTTCCACCCTTAGTTTATTGCTTGCAACCTATCTTTTCCGACATTGGCTCTTCACGCAGCCAGGTGAAATGAATCGTGGCCGACGGCGGAAGAGCAAAAAGTGCTTCTGCAAGCAGCAACCACACATCACATCACACCGCTTGGACGTTTATTGTGAATAATGCTCGAAAGTACCAAACCTAAAGGCGGCAGTATCAGTAGGAGAGATGATGGGACTGGCACGAACACAGATCGTATCGATGTCGGTGCGAGAAGAGCCGAATGGCCTTCCCCAGCGTTGCACCGGCAGGCCCACAAGCTTCCAGCATGCTGTGACTGCAGGAGCCCAGCGGGTGGCAAGTTCCATCACAGGATGTGTTCGCCTGTTCGTGTGCGGGGCCCGGAGATTCGGGTGACAAGTGACACGTAATCTGGTGCTCCAGGATCTCGTTGTTTCGTCGGCCTGGCCTTGCCCGCTGACACGCTCTTGCTGCTCTCAGCCTGTCCGCCCGCAGCTGCTTGCCTACCGAACCGATAGGACTGGGCCACTCTCTCGTTGCGAAGTGGTGAGGCAATTTCGACATCTATATACACCTGTCGCGAGAGAGAGCGACAGAGAGAGATATATAGCTATAGATAAATAAATACATATACATATATAGATATAGGTATAGATGTACGCGTGCATATGTCCACGTCTGACCATCGCACAATTCAGATGACGGCACGCGGTCGCAAGTTCCTGTGTTTGGGAACGGAGCTCAGCAGTCCCAGAGAGAAAGCCTAGAAACAGCAGGGTGCGACTTTGGCCATGTCTCGCGGAGCACTGTTTTTGCTGCTGGCTCCTCTGCTTGGAGTCGAGAGCCACGGCTTCAAGCTTTTTTTCGACACATGGACCGAATATCCCTTCAAGCAGATGGGAAACGCATTCGATTCGATTCTACTCTAGACTCATGTTCCTGGTACAGCCAGTCCCTGCTGCCTATCCAGGTTCCCAGTTCTAGTCTGGGATGTAGTATGATTTGAGCCCAACGTCTTGAGTGCGCTTGATGGGGTGTTTGATACTGTTGGTCTTCGGATTTTCGAAGTTAGGCAACACTCGTAGAGAAGATGCACTCAAAGCCTCGGTCCGAACTCGCGAACGGGACCAGACCGGTTTAATGTACGATTCTTTGGGCGGATTTGCAAAGACGGACTCCCCGCCTCTCCCCAACACATCGCTGTCGTAGTTGCTAGGTGGACTCCTGACTGACTGGCGAGACCTAGATCATGTTCTTTTTTGGGGTTCGATGTGCCAAGTTGTGGCAGCAGAACTTGCGTGATGTGCATCGCAGCCGAGGTGCAGTGATGCATGTGCAGATGATGTATCGATTCTGCAACAACACGTGCGTGCGCCAGGCGCGATTGCATGTCTTTGAGTTTCTTTGCGCCGAAGGGGTGGCAACTTCATATTGGAAGTTCCTCGACCCTTGATAAAAAAAAGCGTGTGATTCCGATAGGTGGCACAGCTAAACCAGAGGGGCATATAGTATTAGGCAAGCCCAGGTCGAGGATCACTTGCCAGGCAAGAAAACAAAGCCCGCTACGGACCTGATCTGTCTGACAAGTGTGCGACTTGATCCCTCTTGCAATTGCTCTCCCTGTCAGACGTGGCGACCGCTTTGGAGAGGCTGGAGGACCGGCTGAACTCCATGGAGCGGCTGGCACTGACCCCATTGATCCATGGCCATGGAAAAGCTACAAAAGGCCTAGGAGAGCAGAGCCGACGATGCCCAGCGAAGCGTCGCAGATGGGAAGCTAAGGAGCGCAGCACCGGAAGCCCATCCGAAAGCAAGCAATCTCGAGCTCCCGCGGTCGGACGCTACACTGAGCGCACATCAGAAGCCAGCTGTTGCCGAGCAGCACAGTAATCAAGACTCTGACGCCGGCGGCCTGAGTCAGCCTCACAGCAAGATGCCGGTAAATCTGCAGGACGGAAATGGGCCTCAGTAGGTTCGCTCGAGTCTTCTGTGGTACATTGCCTCGAACACTTCTTTGAAGGAGCTGAGAGCAAGAGCAGGAGAGCCAGAAGCGAAGCAAAGAGAGAGCTAGAGAGAGAAATGGAACCGCAGGTGCGCGCCCTGCGTGCGGGGTGCAGGGCTGGACGCTCCCTGTGCCTCCTGCCTTGGAGAGAAAGAAACAGAGAGAGAGTGAGAGAGCAATGTTGTGTGGGGAGGGAACGAGAGCCTGCCTCCCTGGGGCTGTGTGGGAGAAAAACTTGTGCTCGCCCAACATCGTAGTCAACATCGTCACCCCGACCGACATGAACTCAGTGTGTTGTCAAGCGCGGCTCGTCATGGAAGAGAGTCAAGAGAGAGTACGCGTGTTGGGGTTGAAGAGAAATTGAATCAATACTAGCCAGACCGGTAATTTCGGAGGCGAGCAGCAGAAATCCAAGTAAATCTTTCCGTTCAGGCGAAAAAACATTGAAATTGTGAGGAAGCAAAGTCAGCATAGGTTTTCGTACTTTGGAGAGGTAGTCCTTCCCGAAATCAGTATGCAGATGACGGTTGTCTTTGGGCAGACATTGGCTGTCACGAAATGACTGGGCTTGTCTTCTTGATTCTTTTCTGGGTGCCACTGAGGAATGCAGTTTGCAAAGAGCTTTGTCGCTATATTCTAGATGATAAACCTATGCTTCGCACATAGGTTGAAGTTTTGTGGGACTGCTTCGTGCTTTTGCTTCAAGCTCCGTGGCTCAGCCACGCAGTGGCAAGAAATGGGACTGTCGGGCAGCGGCCCGTGGACAACTTGCATTTTCCTTGTTCCTTTGCTCACCCAGTGTCGCACAATATCTTTGAAATCCGGTTTCCCAGAGTGGACCTTTGAATCTAGGTCTGGGGAGGGTCCACTTCGCGCTGCTTGGGGAGACGGAGCCCCAACAACACATAAGAGAAACTGCGCCAACTTCTGGGGCTGTTGCTGTGGGGAAGCTGCGATCTAGTTCAGAGCCTTCCCAAGATGTGAATCTTTCTGTCATTGGTGTTTTCACCGCTGACTCCCAGCGCTCCCCCTCCCTCTCCTCCTCAACGGCATCCGAGCTAGGATGCAAACAAGACCCAGGAAGCGCACATCGAAGCTATCAACAGCCATCTCCCACCGTGCGCGGATCAGTTCTATTCTGTTGCGTAGTCACAGTACTCAGCGGGTGCACACTGACTCCTGACAATGCCACCGATTTTTTGCGCCCACAATCGGCTCCTGACAACGCAACTGAGCAGTCGCGCGCACAATCGGATTTGTCACGGTCTTCATTTAATACAACTAGTGATCCGGATGGACATGATTTGGAAGTCCTGCACCATCCTGCCCCTTGGAAAATCCTCAGCACACCGTGCAGGAATCGGGAGCTGTTCTGCAAATGAACGGGCGAGGCCATTGTTTCAAAGCATCAGGAAGGCAGACTGTGCAGGTTGCGTTGTTCTTCGGTGCAGCCACGCCGATGCATCAACCCGTCGTTCGTGGAGTCATGCTGCTGCTTTGGCAGGCTACCAAAGCTTCCCTTGGTGGCAGTGGCCACGGCAAGCTAGTGCCTGGGCTGCACGAGACACAAACTTTCCCTTTGCATTTGTTTTGGTTTCCTAGGAGAGGCACCGCTCGACCAGACTGAAGAAATCCGGGAGATGCAGGAAGAATTGGCCAGAATCGATGCTTGCGCTGCAAAAAAAGGAATGCGTCAGCCAAAGAATAGTGGTCTCGAAGCAAGTCGAACCGCCCAGGCGTCAAGAAGCGGCCAGCAAGAGTTTCGCGAACAGGAGGCGCAGAGCCAGATGCGAGCTCAATTGAGCAACCAGGCCGAGACCGTCCAGCTCCTCATTAACGAGGTGCGAAAGTTGGCTGCTGCAGCTGCAGTTCAATGGCTCTCAGGGCAATAAGTGACAACAGATCAGTGAGCACATAGAGGAAAATCATCAATTGATTCGAAAAGGTTCGCGACCAGCTCAGGGAAGGCCTTTTAGCAGGACTGGCCTTCACAGCACGCTCCAGCGATGCGAGCCGAAAGCCGAGGAAGACGAGACGGACAAGGAATCCTCCGCCTTGTCCGGCATGACCAGAGATGTCCTGGCCATGAACAGAAGCCTCCGTGCTTCGACAGCTCGAAACGGCAGCTTCACTGCTTATAATGAGCACTCCGTCAGTTTATAATGTACCCTCCCCTGTGCACTTGGGAGCATTCGAGGCACCCAGTAGGTGAGGCCCTAACTCTCGGCAAGGCCTGGAGATCGGTGAGCTCGCCCAGCACCAAAGGACCGACGAGGCCCAGATTCTTCAGACCGGCCAGCATCTTGGCCGTGGAGGCGAGTTGTTCCTTCTGCGGAAGCTGGTTCTCCTGCTCGTTGTACGCTGCATTTTGTCGTTTCGTTTGCTCCGGCAGCCTAAGGACTCTGAGCGGACTCCTGCAAACGCAGCAGCAGGCCCTCGCACACTATGCCTATGCGTGGGGACCACAGGTGCCCAGATTGCCTTCTGCAGGACGAGCTCAAGCTGACGAATCACGAGGGCTCCATCAACAAGCTCGGCCAGGCGAAGCCGGCGTAATATTGGGACTTAGGCGCAACACGAGGAAAGTGAAGAGAGCATGTTCCGTCCCGTTGTCCTCAGGAGAACCCCAAATGACATGAAGCAAAATGTCTCCGGTTTGTTTCTCATGGGATACCACTTCAAGACCATCCTGATTCCCATTCTCGGCTGTTCATTTGGGACAAGTAATGCTCAACAACTGATCTCATGTCATGTTGTGCATTCTGAGCAGCTAGGGCAGCAAGTCTTGCATTACATGCAGAGCCTGTGGTTGGGAAAGAGACTGCACTTGCGGCTTCAAGTGTACTTGGGCAAGGTCCAATTGGAAGATGAGACAAAGCTTGGGCAAACCGCTCAGCAGGTCATGGGCATGGTCAGTCAGGTGGAGCCCTGTGGCTGCATGCGATCAGTGCAGGCCCGAGGCGATTGGTAAATGTTCCCCCCAAGTTGTGGTATGTGGCTGACAGGTCCGATGCACAAGAATTTTACAGGTTGACATGCAAGCAGTTTGCTTGAAGATGGTGTTGGGTCAGTAGGAACTGCAAGCCCAGGTCTGTGGATGAGTCGCAGAAGCGCATCAACTCCGAGTTCACAGCTGCAGAGGAAAAACTGAATCATCAGACCCACAGCTTGGAGAGCTTGGCGAAGAACATTTCAGGCAGGGTTGCGCGCTGGAATTTCCGACCAGGTAGTAAACCAGTGTAAAGTCTAATGACAGCTGACGGGGAGATCTTCTGCCATCGTCTCGAGAGAGGGCTCAGACTCAGACCCTGCCTCCTTGAACCCCTGAGTGGCAGGCCTGGGCAAGCGTCTGAAGGACACCAGGCCGCTTGGGCTTGTGCCGTGTTGTTGCACGTTATGACACAGTACGTGGGACATTCATGCCCGTGGCTGCACAAGCTGCAGTGGCAGCAGCTTTCCTCATGATTTAGATGCTCGGTCACCCGTGTAAGTAACGGTGATGCACTTTAGCTTGCATCAATTGCAGGACGGAATTTCAGGGTGCGCTGCAGTCACACGGCGCGGAAATTCTCCAGAATAAGGCGGGTGCGGCCGAGTCGCTGGCATTCGCAACCTCGCTGTAGCTCGCACTTTCGGTGCTGATGCGGAGCGCAGCAGCAAGTGCTGGCTTCTCTTTTCGGTTGCGATGTGACAGCCTGGCTTCAGCGTAGATTTGCATCCCTGGCATCGGCCCTCAGATTTTAAACTGCATAGCAAGCTGAAGCCTCAGCTCCACAGCAGGAAAGTCTAGACAGCGTGGACCAGCAGGTTTCTGCGACTGGGCACTTATAACTTTCCTCTTGGTCGCATGATAGATCATGGCTTCGCTGGATCGGACAGGCCAAAGCTAATCGCAATCAGCTGATGCCTGCGAAGGTGAACACTTTTTGACTTGCAAATCAACTCAGGCACATCCGAGGTAAGCTTTGGCAAGGATCCGAACGGTTGTGTGTCGACTTGAGGCACTACAGGCCTCCAGAGAGAAGGACATCAAGCATCTGTTGGACCTATCGAAGAATCACGAGGCTCCCAGATTGAAAAGATATCCGGAAGCTTAGTGTTCATGGACAGGCAGCGGGGATCGTGATGGGGTTTTTGTTTGCACTTGTTGAAGGTTGACATTAGTTGGCCGATGTGCAAGCGACAGGCATTGTCCATGGAGTTTGAAGCAGCACCCCGGCAGAATCGAAACGGCGAGACTAACGGGATGGAGGAAGCCCCCTGCACGTTTCATGGAAGTGTTCAGATTCGTTACATGTCATGCTGACAAGGTTAGGAGGTCTTTGTTTCCGTCAGAGAGCACAGAGATCCCTCAAAATCGCAGAAGTGATAGCAGGTATAGTGCATCATCGGGTTTTGCTGCGCTTCTGGAGACTCTGCAGGGAGGGCTAGGGTTTGCTCAAGCACAGCCAGACTTTGCAAGCATGCTGGACATGAGGCCAAAGAGAGGCACGCGAGGGAGATGTTTGCCGTCAACGAGTCAGTCAGCGGCATCATAGACTACATGCAAAAGGCCTGGTGTTGGCGGGATAGACGTCCAGGAAGCGAGCAACTCGGTCAGTTGCATGTGTCCCCTCGCCTGCCTTCGATTGTTGCTGCTACGGCTGCGCTGACAACGACGACGACGACGACTGCTGCTCGCTGTGTGCGGCTTTGTTGTTCCTGTCTTCCACCGCAGCCTGGTAGTCCCAGCGGAGTGCCTACTGGATGCAAGTTGCCTTGCTTCGCAGAGCGGCGAGTTGCGCCTTGGCTTCGTGTGTTCTCGTGATTTTTTCTTTGCGGATTGTTCCTTTGTGTTGTCTTTGTAGCCGAGATTGTGATCTAAGCCACCCTTGCCCTGCTGCCCCGGTGCGACAACGACGACCGTAGTTGTTGTTGCTGACTTGTTGTCTGGCAAGTGCTATGCCTGCTGCGATACAAATTAGGCGCTTCGACATGTTTTGCAGTTCACACGACTCAGAAATGATTGCTAATTTGGTCGTGCCAGGCTCGCGATGCAGTGGCAGCTCTTAACCAAAGCCGGCAGCAGAGACCTGGCAATGTCGATGGCATACTCTACAGCAGCTATACTGTAGCAGGTGGCTGTACCACCTTTGCACTGGAGCATGTCGGCCGGCAACAGCCGCCACATTGCAAAGCGTCCAACTCACGCATCGCATTCCCATCAGTACCCTCGGAGCACTGTTGCTTGATTCTAAGGGATTTGCTTGGCCTCTTCGAGGAGACGTCGGAACTCAAAGAGCTGATGGAGAAGGCGAGCCCACGTTGCCGTGCTTGCTGCAGCTATGGCAACTGCACGAGTCTTGCAGATCTGCACGAGTCTTGCAGATAAGGTGAAGGCCCAAGTGAGTCAACAAGGTGAACATTTGGACAACTTGACAGCGCCTTGGCTACTGCGGGGTTTTGCATGGACCTGCCGCTAATCAACATAGATCGCTGCTTGGACTTAAAATACGCGAGGGTAGGGACTCCTCCCAGTCCTTCCAGGAATGTGCTCATCAGGCCGATTCATAATCATGGACTCCCGACACTCCGCTTGCCGTCAACATGAGAGCCTGCATGAAGCCCCAACGCTTCTCGTAGCTTTCCGCAGGAGAAGCACTGGAACAAGGTCGCAGAACATGAAGATCGGATGGCGGAGCTGAGACTCCTGGCTCGAGTTTCGTACTGGACTTGGGCCACTTAGACACTTAGCGGGCGATTGCTTGGCGACCTTGACCTAATATGCCGGTTTCAAAAACCTTGGGGGTGGGGTGCTGGGGTAGTGCGACTGCAATATGCCTCCTCTGTAATCTCCGCTGCAGCACTATGATGAGTCTGAAGTCCATTCATCTTCATGTCCTGATTGGCCCTGGTGGTCTCCAGATGCTTGCCCTGGCTTCCAACACTTCTGCTGATGATGAAGCGGTAGCAGTGGACTCTGTAAACATGTAGGTATCCTGCCTACGCAGTTTATGCAGCTTCTGCTCTGCACACTTCTAGCCCTGAAGGTGCGAAGTCCTGTAAAGAATCTCAGCAGTCCAGCTGCCCATTCCTACGCCTGCAACAAGCGCCGGTCACGCCATGCAGTCGATATAGTTGCAAGTGTAAGTTGCGTGGTGTCCAGCAGCGATGGCAAGGGCAGCTCATTGCCAATCTGTCGATCGACATCTCTGCAGCTGGGCAATTTGATTGAGGCGTAGTGTTCTGCAAGCTTTCAGCTCTTCAGGAAGCCAAGCCTGCAGTCATGCTCCTCATGCATGCAAGCATGAATGAATTTGAGGTGGGTCGACTGCAGACTTACAGTGATTGTCCGTGAGTTTGCATCCCTGCCGACGCCATTTTACCGAGTTTTAATGTGGGCAGAATGGGTTCTGGTAGCGGTCCTCATGTCATATGCAAGGGTGCAAGGGCAGGTACGACCACGAATACCTGTCTGGTCCGCTTCAGCCAAGCAGTCAAGCCAGACCACAAAGCACGTGAGAACTTGTGGGAGCCCGTTTGGCTCCCGATTGTTTGGGAAAATATCGAGCGTAGACAGATCGAGAGCCATGCCGGCGGCCGCCCATCTCTGCGAGATTAGCCCGCCATGGGCTTATCAGATGGCTTGCATTCACGGCGGGTGTTAGACTATGAAGGGCTTCGAGAGAAGATGCGCCCATTTTCGAGCCTGCTGGGTTTCGTCTTTCGAGTCATTTTTGATTAGCTCACTTTCTTGGGTCATGCCATCGTATCGTGAGGGCTGGCTCGTAATTACGCGCATTCCCGTGTTCCAGGACCGGTCAGCTTCTCGAGATGGGCTTGGACCCGCTCTTCCTCCCGGCTGATACAAAATCTTTGGGCGTTCAGACTGACGGGAGCAAGGATTTTCAGACACTTCGCTGCATGTTTGCGCTCAGCCATCTCGTAGCAGCTTACTGCTTGTTTGAGATTACCAAGACCGGCGTGCCTAGTGCTCAGTCGCAATTACATTACCAGCCTTTGCCAAGGTCGCCTAGAAATGAACCGAGGAACACAGTTGATAGAAGTTCATGAGCCTGAGGCTGCAGCAGCTGGCATATGACAATGATGGCCGGATAGAGCCGCTTGATTGCGTTTAGAGGCTGGAGCAAACTGCAATTGTGCTAAAGTTGCTAAAGCGCAGGTACGTGTGTTCGCACGTGCACTTGTTGCTGTTTGTTTCTGTGCAAATATCTGTGTACATATTGTGCTTGTACATATGTACACATAAGTAGTATAATAAGTATATATATATACATATATATATATACGTGTTTTGTGTATGTATATATACATGTTAATATTATACACACATGCAATCGATCGATCTTGTGAATGTGGGGCGTGAAGGGTGCAAGGGGGAGAGGGGGAGATGTGGCGAGGCGAAAGAATGTCAGAGACGGCGTGCGCGATTGTGCGTGTACCCTCTTGCTTCCTCCACCTTCTCCCTGTGATCGGACAGCATGTCGTGTCCTCACAACTTGCCAGTCCAAGGCCCGCCTTCAAGCAGCCGGCAGCCGCTTCTCAGGTTCTCCAGCTTGCCATCGGGCTGCTGGGCGCCTCGCCTGGAGTTACGGAAACATGCCCTGGTTACTGGATTCCTAAGCGAAGCTCTTCATCTCGTGATCGCTGAAACTCATGAAGGTTTGGAAGTTCACGAGAAGCCCAGAGAGTGGGCGGAGGCAGGAGCAAATCGCCTTCTTCAGACATTTTCCCGGAGCGTGCGGGGGCTGCTACAGAGCCATGGTCTTAAGCATGTCCAGCACCTTGGAGGTGTGGCTAACCTTCAAGGACACCACCGGGAAGCAGCTTGGGATCAGCACCTCGGACCTCGGCAGATCTGAGACTTGCGCCTCAAGTTGTGGAGACTGAGGCTCGCAAGTCTCGGAAGCCACGCAGGATCCCGACTTCAGGAAGAACCAAACGGATTGGCAGCATCAGGCCTCCCGGGCCTCCCGGGCCTCCTGCGATCGAGAGCCAAGATCCGAAGATGTCCTGGAGAGGTGCTGTCCCATCTGCGTCAGCTTCGCGATCCCCCCAGCAAGAGTACCCTGGCCACGAAGGGTGCCTCGGCATGCTGCCTTTTGTCAGCCACTTCCGGCTACTAGCACACATGTAGTCGTTCTGGCCTCTTCTGATGGCAAGGTGCACCACCCGCAGATGTGGCCCCCAGAATAGGACCTCATGCAGGATTTAAGGCGGGGCGGTATTTGTACCCTCGATGCGATGCACGACACGGAGTTGGATCTGCTTCGGCAGGAGCAGCTGGAGCTTGCAGATTTCGCACTGCATCGCATCACGCATGCAGTCAATGCACCTCTGCTGCAAAGACCTTCGGTCATAAATTGACGACCAGAGATGCTCATGGCTGCATGATGCCGTACTTCGGCGCAACATTGCAACGAACTGGCCTGGAATTGCAAGTGCATCATCCAGATGTCATGCCAGCCTCCTATGCATGGTCAAAGGTTCTGCAGAACCCTGGTTGTCGAGACAGACCTGAGATTCTGCAAGAGTACACGGAGGAGATGCCTCTTCCGCCAACTCAGACTCACTTGTAGCGAAGTGCAGTGAATTGCCTGACTAAGTGGTCCGCAGATGCCCGCATGTCCGTAGCTTGTTTCGTGCAATGGCCAGCAAGTGCTTCGAAGCCTGTGCTGTTGCAGGAGCGGGTGGGCGAGGTTTGCAAGGACTTGGCCCAGTGGCTCGAGCAGCTGGCGATGCTGCTCTCCCTGTCAGCCCAGCCGTGCGTTGCGTGATACGTTTTCATGCATCCTTTTGTTTGCGCTCTGCGTGGTGATCCGTGGGAGGTATCACATTCACATCCTTGACCTGGAGGGAGATCGAGGGCGCCTAGCAACCGAGCTTCGGACCACGAAGGCCAAGTATCAACAAGGCGACGAGGCGGACGCCAAGTCGATGAGCTTCGCTGATTTGCGTCGTGAAGCGTTCCCCCGTTGTCTTAGAGGCTGTGATAGGCTGTGTCTGTGCGTCTTGGGCCTTGGGCTGCTGACTGACCGTGCCTTTCCGCTTGGCCAGGAGAAGAAGGACGCCGTGCGTCGGTTTCAGGCACGAGGGCAGCGATGACAAATTTCTTGTCAGCTTGGTGCCTTCGCAGTCTTGCACGAGCAGGAAATCGAAGCACGATGGAATGAGGAGAAGATGAAACGAAGGGCTGAGGTCCCTCCACGGATTTGATGGAATTGCATGCTAGGTCTGCTATGTTGTGCAGAGCGCAGTACAGTGGCCTGCGCAAGACAAGCAGAGCTAAGCATGACTGGTGGATGCTGCGTCAAGGTACTGTTCGGAGTCAGCTGCAACGAGGAGGCCACCATTTGATGTAACCGGTAGACAGTCCGCCACTTGCAACCAGTATTTGACAACGGCTTGGTTGGCTTTTCCTCCAGGATACTCTGAGTGCCTGCTGCGTCGTGCTGCGTGCACACGGTATTGTACTTGATAAGATTGGAGTGATTGGAGTTCACTCTGCTGCCTGGCATCAGATTTTCTGACGACAGCGCTCCTCGCAGGATCCTAAGATTTACAGCCAAATGGAGGTGGACGACATGTACGAGCGGCTCGTTCGCATGTCAAACCTGCTGCTAAAAGCAGTCTCAGGGTAGCTCTCCATGATAGCCCGATACGCTTTGAGTTGTAACTGGGCACAGACTTCAGTCACGACCAACCTCACATTTCCCACATGCGACCAGCACTGCATTGCCACAAGCGCTGAAGTCGTCATGGCTGCCGTAGATCGTCTCCAAACCATGCTGTTGAAACACTAGGGACGAGACCAAGCTTCTCGCTTTTTCTCGCTTTTGGGGCACATGCTCCTGTTAGGATGCAGCCCATTGGCTTGCACTAATGAGAACGAAGTGAAACAAAGAAGACTGAAGAGATCGCTGCTGGTGGAGAGTATCTTGAGCCCTCCATGGCAGTGCACCTGGATCCCCTGAAGTGCAGAGACGGACTGGATACAGAGATCAGCCGCCGGCGGCACAAGTAGGACAACTGGCACCCCAAGGAACAAGAGTCTCAAGAAGAGACGAAGAAGGTCGGCACCAAGTGTGGCTCTGTCGAGCTCCGCATGGCTGGCCGAGAGGCCAAAGTCCAGACAAGGTGGATCCTGGAGGAGGTGAATCCCCGTAAGGTCAATGGCAAAAGCGACCTCGTCAAAGGGGCCCTCAAAGAAGGCGGGTTGAATCCCGTTGGCAAAGTCGGCCAGGCATTCTTCGTGAGAATACTCAACGCAGCAGCAATCTCGCAAAGACAGGGGGGCACACTTCCGTCCGGAGTGCACCCAGAACACGACATGATCCGCCGTAAGCTGTACCGGAGGTCCTGGGCGAACTGGGGAAGTGTCCAGAAGTCCAATGATTTGAACCGAATCCCTGTAGATTCGAAACATCGACTGCCGGACAGCTGGGGTGGGCACCAGCCATCCGACTATGTCGGTATTGCAAATCCACTCAGCACAGTCAATCAGTCTGGGATGGCCACCCTCGGCATGCAAGAGCTCAATCCAAGACAGCGCTGTCGTTCTCAGACGGTCCGTCGGAGCACACACACAGGAGAACGACAGACGTAAACGCTCCCACAATTCAACATCTGAAAGATCCTCAACACTGGCGTCGAAGTCGATCAGCCGGAGACAGTCCCAGACTTCCGCGACCGGGCACGTATCCTGTTCGACGGTGGGGAGCTGTGGAAATTGACAAAGTGGACCACTCCCGAGCAGCACCGGGCACAGTCCAGCGGCCCGGTCATCATCCTTGCGATGTCCTACCCCCGGTTCAGCGGCACAGGCGTGTCCCAGGGAGAGGAGTTTGGCACGGCAGAGACGGGAGTACCGAAGGTGCCTGCAAAGTCTGACATTGCTGGAGTAGGTGCGGAGGCACGCCTGACACTGCAGTCCAGGCAGGATTCCCCGCGCGGCCATTCGCCGGCCGTGGCACTTGAAGGCATGTACAGACCACTTTTGCCGGTTGGAAAAAGTGGTACGACACAGCGCACAGCAATGGACCATATCCTGACGGTCGAGTGTAGAGCCGAACAGGACGGCTCCTTGTCGTTGAAGCTGGTGAATGAGGAGAGCGCAGTGCCTATGATGAGCAGCTTGCCAGGCCTCAACATGGACGGCCCTAGCCTGAGCGCGTTTGAGTAAGCTCTTCCATT